AAAAAGAGAGAAATAAAACTAATTACTCTTAGATGTACTTGAGCCAAGTAGTTGCTGCTTCCAGATGTTGTGAGGTAAAAATCATTACCTGATAACATTATGGTAAGTAACCTTTTGCTTATAACCTAATAATTTGAAATTCAATTGATATTGCTTATCAAAGAAGACTGATATCTATTTGTAAATTTAAAAATTTACATCGTTTAAAAAGTACCTAACAAACTATTTTCTAAATAAAATATAATTATTATATAAAGAACTGTTTATTCTAAGAACTTTAAAAAACAAACAAAATGGGGGTGGTGCAGGAGAGTTGGGGACATGTTCTCCAATGAAATATCCAGAATTATTTGCAATAATAAGGCTCAGAACCACAAAGGATTCATTAGGCTAAAGTTTCAAGTCTACTAATATGTTACTTTTATTGTGTTTTGACAGTCATCTCCTATGGATTGCACTCTCATTTCCAAACTATAAATCAGATCTGAAGTGAGTTATATTTTCTTGTCGTGATTTTTTAAGAGAAAATAATTAACTCATTGGCTTAAAGAAACAAAAAAGACATAGAAAAACTGCACACAAGTCATTTAAATGTTGTGTACTATAATAAAGATAGTCATTTAACAATTTCAAGTAATTTATTTGGTATCTAATATTCTCATACTATTATTTCAAATCTCAAATATATCTATATTATTCATAAGTAATTTACTCTGACAATGCATCAGTCTTATCTTTATTGGAATCATCAAGGAGTACTACATTATAGCAGAAAAATTAAGCTATAGATTATGCTCCAAAGTATTTTACAAGTGTTCATTCCCCATTTAAAATATTTCGGATAGCAACTTAAAGCTGCCAAAATCTTAGTCCATCAGTATTGTTTTTTTTTTTTTTTTTTTTTTTTTTTTTTTTGAGACAGAGTCTCACTCTTTTGCCTTGGCTAGAGAGAGTGCTGTGGCGTCAGCCTAGCTCACAGCAACCTCAAACTCCTGGGCTCAAGCAATCCTACTGCCTCAGCCTCCCGAGTAGCTGGGACTACAGGCATGTGCCACCATGCCTGGCTAATTTTTTCTGTATGTTTTTAGTTGTCTGATTAATTTCTTTCTAATTTTAGTAGAGACGGGGTCTCACTCTTGCTCAGGCTGGTCTCAAACTCCTGAGCTCAAACAATCCGCCCGCCTCGGCCTCCCAGAGTGCTAGGATTACAGGCGTGAGCCACCGCGCCCGGTCCCCATCAGTATTGTTTTGATTGTCACTATTAGCTATGCAAATTTTTCTTCTTTTAATCATACTAACTTGAGTCAGCTGGGCTTTCCAGTGGATATTTTAAACGACAGAACAGATATGGGAGGCAGAAAAACTAGATCTGGTTCCAATTTAACTATTTACTAAATATGTGATCTTCAGCAGTCCTTCAACTTCTCCATGCCTCTCCTTATTCTTCTTAAAGATGAGGATCCTATTACTTTCCTTTGACTGACTCCTAGGACTATGGGAAATCATGTAAGAAAAACATGAAAGAACTCTAGAAAGGGCCAACATGCTATAAATGGTATCAACACACAGAGGCTTGTTAAGGTATTGGATTTGGTTAGAATGACCAGTCTATAAGGGTGTAACTTAAAAGCAAGTCATTCTGGGAAGCATCAGAAAAAAAAAATTTAACATCTTTATCATGTCCTCTGGATAAAGTCTGAGACCAAGTTTAAAAAATATATTGATACTTACCCTATTCCCATGTAAGAAACCACATTGGACATTGACCTAAGAAAAACTAAAAGGTCATTCATTCTTCCTAGATTTTTTATGGCTATCTTTCTGTTTCACCTGAATGTGTTTGTACAGTTTTATTAATTTGCAGCCTGTTTTGTTCTGGCAGTTACTTAACTCTCTCTGATAGTCACAGGCAATCCTTTTTTCTCTTTTGTTATTTTTTAATTTGTTTTAAATTTTAGTTTTTTTCTGACTCAAACTCCACTGAAACTAGATGTAATAAAGTGTTCTTAATTTAAAAGATGAAGAAAGAAAGATTTGAGTCACTAAATGTTCCCTCCACTTTCCTGTCACTTCAGGAGATATTGTGCATGCACTCCAACAGGATGTAAGATTCACAAATCATAAGAAAAAAATCTGTTTAATTTATACAATGTAATTTCCCAAGGTTAAAAGACACAAAGCAGGAAAAGTAAGTAAGGGTTGACTTTTGTATGAGGCGTATCTAAATGATGATTTTGAAGAAATGAATGGTGATTTTGAAGTAAATGGAACATGAGGATAGGATGGGAACAAAATAGAAATGATATGATGAAATTTAACACAGAGTCATTGAAGTACTGTATCTCTAGTTCACTAGCTAAATAAACCAGATTAGGTAACTGGTCAGGTAAGGAGAAACAGATTTGGAAGCCCTACTATAGATACAGGTGATTTTTGAAGTCACAGGATTAGAAAATTTGGGAGAAATGGGGGCCTATATCATACATAGACATAGATGATGTCAAAATGAGAAAATGAAAATGATTTGAAAAATACAAAGTTAATATATTAGAGAAGGGTACAGTTTTAATGAGAATGGTCATAGTCAGAAAAACACAGCAGAGCAAAAATGAAAATAAAGATTGGTTTTGACAAGAAAGCTCATAATTAATGTAAAAGAGTGATTTGGGTTCAATAGTAAGGATAGCTGAGTTAGCAATGGATCAAGAGAAGACTAAGTTGTAAAAAAAAATGTTAAATTTAAAATGTTCACTCAGGAAAACGTAGAAAAAATAATATGAAAGCAAAGAAGACCTGCGTGTGTTTAAAAGCAGAACTGAACAATTAAAGTTTATGTTTTACAGTTGAGAGAGTCAAACTAATAAATAGACTGATTCAGACCTAAGTTAGGCACTTCGGGGGTGGGGAAAGGGAAACCTGATTTCTGTCACTAGAAAACAGAAAGAAATTAACCTCAACCCACTTACTTTTTTGGTATCATACTTAGCTCCTATACTTTGTGATATATATTTAAAAGGTCCTTAGAAATTGGTAAGTGAAAACTGTAAAAAAGATCAAAAATGGAAAATGGTATTGAAAATATAAGTCAATAATCCATTTTGAAAACAATTTTAAATAAAATCAAAACCAAAACTAGACTTTAAAAATGTAACTGCTAGAGGCATCATATCCATATGATGTGCAAAGTGATTACATTTTTATATAGGTTTTATTTCGATATAGCCACCATCATTTAATGACAGGATTTCTTGAATAATTCTATCAAAGAAATACTTTCCTCCTGTAAAACATTCGTAAAATTGATTAAGTGGGTACCTAATAGTTGTCAGTTTCATACCATTCTTTAGTATGAAAAGCAACATAAAAAAGTGGAGAATCAAAATATTTTATTTCAAATCTATTTTATGTCAGATCCAACATGTAATTGGAACCTATTCCCATTCTACAGGTTTCTGAATTTCATTTTTCTATTTTATTTATTTTTATGAGCAACTTGTTTTAATTTTGAATCAGTACCACTTTATTTGACATTTATTAAAGCTGTATAAAAGCCATGCACAGTTTATTTATTTACAATATTGTACATTAGGTGACTGTTTGAAGATCACACAAAAATTTCACAAAAGTATAACTAATATGGAAAGACGTGAAACACATTATTTAAGGGCATTTAAAAATTTTAGCTATGTGATTTTTCAAAGATGATTTTGGTTATAAGGGTTATACAACCACTAGTTGAAATAAGACTGACAAAAACATGCAAATGAGTAGAATTTCAATAAATGAAAAGCTAAAAACATTTAGCTAAAAGCTAAAATATCATGTAGTTGAAATACTACTATGTAACAATGGGAATTTATAAAACAGGAAAAAAAGGTTATTCTTTAAAAGTCTTCCATGACTAATAGGGATTTCAGTAATTCTCTATAAAAACACTCAGAAATTAAGTTTCTTAAATTATGTTCATCACTAAAATTATGTTTTCAGTAATGATTAGAACTATGATTTTCAAGTAATTGTTTATTTTACTATAGGAGAAGTCTCAGTTTTTCCCCTTTGGAGAGAGGGGGTAGAAGAAAATCAATCAGTAAATTTAGACTCAAGTAAAAGATCCTGGTACAAATATATCATTAACACAGAGTGGAGATTTGCAATAATTATAAGTCCACGTACTTTTAACTGTACTCTTAAAATAGAAGTGTAAACTTTAGGTTTGTTCAATTTAAGATCTCCTATTAGGAAATAACTCCTCTTTACGAGTATGGAAAATATCAATAGATATTTATTCTTCTCTAGATGTAACTCTTTCAGTTTTTACTGTTGTGGCTGAAGTACATTTAGATATTCAGACTGCCCCAACTGGTAAGTTGTGTTCCTTCCACAGTCGACATACTGGTACCTCTCCTGGGATATCTGTTCAGAGTGGCCAAAGTATGTTGTTGTCACAGTAACCCTAAAGATAAAATAAGTGGGGAGAAATACTTAATAACTATATTAAAAGATTTTCTACAGTGAGACTACTTTTACATATGAAAATTCTCTCCTGGGAGAAAGTATTTGATTAATGATAACTTAATATTGTAGATACAGTCCTCTAAGGGAATGTTTCCCCAACAGACAACAAAAATGCTAGCTGAACAAGCTCTATCCAGATAATTATATGCAATAAACGTAATTTTTAAAAATACCTATCTTTAGTTAAAAATATAAAAGTTCATTATATGTTAAAATTAAATATACAGTTCTCTCATTATAGAAAATGGTTAATCCAATGTCAGCTAATGGCCCAAATACCAAATCTATAATCAACAATGTTTTATTGGCTTAGATAATACCCAATTTACACACCAATAAGGAACTGAATGTTGTGCTCAGTCCTCTCTATCTCAATCCTTGGCATTTTCCTGAGCTCTTGTCATGTCTACACTCACTACTTAGCAGTCAGGTAATCCTCCACTACTTCTCTAGGAAACCATTTCCTAATTTGTAAAGTGGGATAATACTTACTTGACCTTATAGCACTCTTGTAAGGCTTAAAACCCAATTGAGATATGGTATTTGTAAAGATGTCATGTATGCTATAATTGTTATAAATCTAAAATTCTTAATAAGAATAGGTCTTTCAGAAAAAATTCATACTTACTGCATCATGAGCACTATGTTATGTACTTTGATGGATAGCAGTGTACAGAAATCACTGTTAAAGAAATTAAAATGTAAATAAATATAAGTTATAAGTGACTAATTTAAAATTCTTCTGATATTAAAGCTAATAGACACTATTAAAATATATAATAAACAAGTATTTATTGGTTGAGCATTTACTGTATTTCAAATAATGACTGATATATTCATGACTATTCTAAAAATATATATGCATTCATACCACTGTAGTTGTAGGGTTGCTCTAACGTGGGCTACAGATTACTTATACATTTTGCTCACTTTCTGAAATTTTGGTAAACAGTTTGCTAGTTATCAAGAAGTTCTATTATTTTATTTATTGAGAGTTAATAATCATTTAGACCTGAGTTAAAAACTTCAGAATTTTAAACCAATACAGTAGTATACATTATTAGCACTTCTAGTTTTCCTACACTAAAATATCAGCAAATATAAGAATATATAAAAATATGCCTCTTATAATATAGTAACCAAAAGTAAAAAGTGATATGGTGTATATGATCCTAATTCTGAAAAATAAAAAAATAAATTTTATGTGTATAGGTATATGTACATAAATATTATATATGTTGAAAAAGAGAAAAGAAGAACAGAGATGATCAGAGGCCAGAAGGAATATTCCATAGTCTTTTTGACTGATAAGACTATAGAAACTAAAAAAAGGAAAAATATTCTTTATACTTTATTCTATATATTTTATTGTTTAATAATAAAAAGTTTTAAGAATTAGAACTTACAACATGTAACTCATTTCTTCTGCTATAACAGTAGGTACTGTGTAGTCAATCTGAAAGGCAAAAAAAAAAAAAAAAGACAAACAAGAGAGAATAGGACCAAAACATCAAATATTTCAGATATACCTCATAACTTCAAAGAGTTAGAAAACTCTCCCTTTAGAAGCTTGATTCCACAATTCCATCCTATATATATGGGACACATTTCAAAATTAAGTTTTTGAGGAAATATTCCACCCCCTCAAGTTACATGATATACGAAGTTGAGACTCATTTACTCCTCCCAAGTATTTCATGACTGAGACTTACTTGTTTCATATCAAGTGGACCAATATTGGTTATGTTGTTTAAGCGTGCCTTTCCAATAACTGTTTTTGAAAACTGAACTTGAGCAGTGATATTTTCAACTTCGACAGAATAATAGTTATTGTTCGTAATATTTAGGGTATTCTACAAAAGAAAGGAGGCAGAAAAATATGCAAGGTTAGCTAAAAATAAGCATACAAATATTACTCATAATTAATAAAGCAAACGACTTCAGCTGTAGCTATGCTTCATTTATTCAGAGAAAGAAAAGTATTGCCAAAATGTCAACATTAAATGAACCAGTTATTTGGGTTTATGCATGAGCACTATGTATATAATACATCTGCAGTAAATAAACAATTCAAAATAAAAAAAATAATAAACCCAGAAAATGTATAGTATAGGAATATGGAAAAATGAATGTTAGAAAATGTATTTGTGGCCTTAGTTAGCAGGAGTTCAATAAAAACAATTTTAAAATTTCATCTTTTTATTAACTCTTAATATATACCTCTTCATAAACTATACTAGTAAACTGTTTCCTATTCTATTAAATAAAAGATGACCTTTTAAAATGCTAAACAGTACTTAAAATAAGCTTTTTGTTTAAAGGAATTTGTTATTTTGACTTATATACTAGTAGAGATTTATACCAGGTCCCTATGGAAAAGAAATGAGACATATTAAAGTTCGTTTGATTAGAGAAAAATGTGGTTGCATCATTCCTATTCTTAAGTAACAGCTGGGGTCAGCTTCTGCATTTCTAATTCACTATTGTTTCACATTACTTTAGAAAACAGTCAAAAAATAAGAAAAATATTAAATATATAAATAAAAAAATCTAAAACAGTCATAGCAAAAGATATCATAAATAAAATCAATAGACACTAAATGATAAATATAGAAGAAATATTTGTAAGACAGATAGCAATGGTTATCATCTATAATACATAAAAAGCCCTTATAAATTGAAAAGAAAAAGCTATAATAGGAAACAAAATAAAGAGAAAAGGATATTCATGGACAAGTCAATCAAAAAAGTATAAATCTAAATGGTCAAGAAATATTTTAAATTCTCATATTCATTTATAGTCAGGAAAAAGTTAATTTAAGTAAAAATGAAATATTGTTTTTCATCTCTCAAACCAGTAAAATTTGTAGAAGGCAAACAAATTCTATTCCTGGCAGGGATGTGGGTAAAGGGTATATTTTTACATTGCTGGTAAATATGTGAAGTGTCACAACCATTTTGATAAGTAATCTCATGACATACAATAAAATAAAAATTATGATAGCTTTTCACCTAGCAATCCTACTTCTGAGCATCTATTCCACAGAAATAGAAATATCAGGATGTTAATGACAGTATTCTTTATAGCAGCAAAGCATACACCGTGAAAATAAAATAAATGCCTATCCATAAAAAGAATGATTGAATAAATTGTATTAAGTCCTTACATAGAATATTATGCAGCCACAAAAGAATGGATTAATTCTTAAAACAGATAATTAGGAAAGATTTCTACAAGGTATTAACAAATGAGAAAATCAAAATATGTAAAAATATGTACAAAATATTTTTTTGAAAATACTGATTTTTATAAAGCTGAACTTGTATGTGCCTATATAAGTTAATATGAATATGGAACAAGACATGAAAAGAAGATATAATATGGGATGAGTCGAAAGGAGAAACAGTTTTACTATAAAGGGATAAAAAAGACATGCTGGAGATCAGCAATTATATGATCGCGCTTACAGAGTCATTTACATTAATTATAGTTATAAATGTAAAAAAATATTTTAGGCCGGGCACAGTGGCTC